CAACACTGAGTGACGCAATAGAGTGAATTGTCCTTCCTGAACAACTGGCATCATCAAAATAAAGAGCAAATACAAACTGCCATTATTGATGGAGAGACTATAAAAGGTCACAACTCTTATAATAAAGCAAACTTATTGGAGATCTCATAGATAGTATGCATGTGTTAACCGAGCCCCTCTGTCAACAATTGCCTAATTGTTTCAGAGCAGCAGTGTATGCTTTAGAGCAGTCAAAAAGTCTGGTGTGGAATTTAACTGCAGTTACCCACATAACTATTTAATTTTTCTCATCCTTGTATCTTCATTCAAGAATCATACCCAAAGCACCACGCGTGCACAGTATCAGTACTCCGTGTCCCAGGTACTCCATGATCCCCATTAGGAGTCTCATTAATTAGTAAATTTGGGAGTCAGACCTGTATGAATTTTTGTTACTCTGCAACATCAAAGCCTGAAAGTTCCTGTGGGTCAGTCAGTTTTTTGGGACCTTGCCTCCAAGTCTTACACATGACTTTGATTTGCTAATCCAAAGTCCTTACAGCAATTTAGCACTTAATAATAGGCAATCAAGTAATTTCTGGTGTATTTCAGAAAAAGAATAAGCAGTCCTGTACAATCCATGGGCTGTTATCCAGAATTGTTCAATTGAAGGGATGCTGTTTCACACCAATTTTCACTGAAGATAAAAGGCCATATTCACAAGTCCATCAACTTCTGACAGGCACTGAACTAATCGTCTGATGAAGCCCTTGTCAATGAAAGTGCCTGGAGCATTTAAATCTTTGCAGAGGAAGCTGAAAACTACAATTAAGTGTCTACAGTCTGTTCTGTAGCTCACACATTGCCAAACCCTGTAAAATAACTCCTTTTTTATAGAGTAGTATTTATAAAGCATGGAGAGTGGTTAAGTCAGGGTAAAAGCTCTGGGGAATGATGTTTGAAGACTATCTAAGGAAAACACTCCCAGACTTCAGTTTTCAATGTGCTCTTTTTGAGAGACCAGTGGGAATTTCTAACTTTTCAGAGTTTTTGGAGAAATAAAAGAAATTATCATATATGTTGAAGAAACTTGTTTTGTTCTTTTACTATTCTTTTTAGGTTGCAAGAGTTGACAACCCCCAGCTGTGGTTAAAATTGCACTTGGCTTATAAACTTCTAAAATAATCTCAAATGAAAATAAATCAGCATATTATTAAATAAATATTCAAGAATATAATAAGATGTCAGATGAACGAATTTTTAAGTCTATTGATTCTTTCTTGTATTTAGAAAAATGAGTACCTGAGTGATTCAGAGAAATTTATGCCCATATAGATACGAAGATGCTAGCTCCTCATTGCTCCACTTTACGAAAATACAAGAAAAATAAACAGCAAACAAATCAGTATAAAACACTCACTGTCTGACAAAAATGCTGCTACAAATAGAAAGGGAAATGTTGACAACACAAATTAATTAAATGATGACAAAAAAAGTACCAGCTCCCTACCTTCCACATACGAAAGCCTACGCTTGTCAAGAAATATTCTCCCCACCATTTTTCAACTGGCTGTGGCCACATGCCAAGCCCAAACCATACCAAATGAATTAGCTTAATAAAGGTATAAATATAAATATAATGGCCAGTCTTCGCAAACAAAGATCTGGGGAAGGTCTTTACAACTTCCAGCCTGCGCATTGGATTTTTTTTTTTTTTTTTTTTTTTTTAGGTGAGACACAGTGTGCGTGGAACTGAGCCCACCCTTTAATCTTGAGGTTCATCTGCCGGGGCCAAGCGAGCTTGGACGGTGGCAGCGAGGTCCTCAGGACGTAGATGGATTGCCTTACAGGGCTAACGAGCTCCATCTGCCCGGGGAGTGGCCCCGACCGGGAATCGAACCCGGGCCTCGGCGGTGACAGCGTCGCGTCCTTAACCACTAGACCGCCAGGGGCTCCCAAAGGTATAAATATGTTCAGACAAAAATATCTAACATGTGACTGTTTTATTTGATGTTCTTTCAATTAGCCATATTCCTATAAGCCTCAGTTTTCATTTCATAAGCCTCAGAATTCACTTGGCTTTGGTGAATTCTCCTCCCCCTCAGTAATTAACTATTTAACTGTGACTAATGAAAAAAAGAAGTAAAATTGCATAGTGGTTTTATCAGCAGTAATAGATAATTAATTAATCACTGGTTGTATTTAAATTGGTTAAGTATAATTATGGAAAAGTAAATAATCAGTGCTGAGTTAGCTTTCATTTTCAGATTTCTGTATGCTCAACTTATCATGAAAAGAAATGCAGGCACTTATATATATGTGTGTTAAGTACTCTTTGTAAATTTTGATCTTTAATTATTTTCAAGGATTTAGAAAGGTTTATGTAGTTAAGTTACACAAACCCAAAAATGCATAATAGAGAACTCATAATAATAACTGGAGCTGCACAAGTATACTGTTATAAATGGTAGCTCATGACTCCATATTTAAGACTACAAAGTGGTATCATCACAATGAAGAAAATTATAAAATTTGTCATGTTTTGTTGATCTATACTGTGTAGATCATAGAGTATTTTTCCTACTTCATTGTTCATCCACCAAATATGTTTAAATGTCACAGAGTATTTCCTATTACAACTATCAAAAACAGTGAACACAGCATGAAAAGAATTTTTTATATAAATACATTTTATTATAAGTATTTTAACTCATATTCCCCATGTCAATATTCAGTGAGAAAATCCAAAGCTAAGCATAATAATGAAGATACTCAAGGAGCAGGGGATCTGCAAATGCATAGGACAAGTGTAATAAACACCATTTTAAGATCATATTGTAGGAATCAGAATGGACTGAATGTGTGTTTAGCCTTAGGACTTCTCTTTTCCTGCCTCTGAAAATATCCTGCAAGTCAGAAAAATATATCTAAAATGATAAAGTTTCATCCTAACCTATTCTAAAAATTTAGGATCATTTTGGTCTGTATCTTCCCATGGGTATGGGAGAGTTAGATTCCCACCCAAGAAGATTAAGCCCTCCCAAACCCATCAGGTTCCCAGCAATCAGGTACTTCAGCCTTGCTGACACAGGCACAGGGCCAGGGTGTGTCTCTGCAGGCATGCAGGGATGCCTTGTGCTGAGTGCCTAATACAGGTGGGGATGTGCTTGTTCGGCACCAAAACCAGCCCAGCCCCGGTTAGAGCCTCATGGCTGAAATAGCCTTGCATGAAGGCAATTGCATGAAGGCAGTGAGCCAGATGTAGTGATTTCTCCCCGTTCAAGAGATGAAATGCCCCAAGACATGAAATGGAGGTCCCCATGTCTATGAGGCATCCATAGATCAGCAGGTATCTCTCATACAATGATTTCACACATCAAGTCTCCCTGCAAGGTGAGGAGTGAAGTCTCTGCATTCAAAGCTCTAAGTCCAGCAGGACTCCCTATGGTACCACACACGCTGCAGTACACGATAATCTTTTATTTTGTATTTTTCAGGAAAATGATTGAAGTCTAAACTAGGCCCTGCTCTTGCTCAGAGACTGTAGTCTTGCTTGTCCTTTAACACGCCTGTCATTTCTGTGCCTCCAGGAACTCAGTGGGAGCTGCTGACTCCATGGAGCTGATCAGTGCTATTTTGCTTCATACAACACAGCAGTTCATACCTCCTACTGACTTAGGCATTGTACTAGTACTTTCTTCCAGACTTGAACGTAGCTGTAGTCTTTTCTGTACTCACAAATCAGCTATAGCAGATACATGTATAAAAAGATACCAAAACATTGAACTGAAAATAAACCTTGCTCATAAAAGCAGTTCTTTTTTTCTCATCGTGATGATCATGCTGGTTTGCATTTTTAGTGTGATTTTCAAAGGCTTGCATGGTCTGCTTTACAAATACTGGATTTTTCTGAGATTATTTACTAGTCTGTAAAATTTATGGATAAAAGGACATCTATTCCTCTATTACTTTCAGCACTCTAGAAGAGTAAAATAATTTTGTGAAAGTACTGTAATGTCTGTTAGGCTTAGCTAAAAACACTTATGAAAAAAAGATAAATCTTCCCTTCTCCAATATTATTTATTTTTTTCCTTCTATATTTCGAGAAGGTCTCTTGCATGAATGCATTTCAATGGCATTCAATTATGTAGCCCTATTCTAACTCCGCAAATGTCCTCACTTATGGCTTACTGGCAGATACAAACTATTTATGTTGGATAAAACTAATTATTAAATTCCTCCATTGGCCAAAATTTAATACCTATGGCATTTTTTGAATAGTCTATAACTATTTTTTAACAGTGTCTCTGTGTTCTCCTGTAGGTTTTTGTTTGTTTGTTTGTTTGTTTGGGTTTTTTTTTTTTGGGGGGGGGGAAGATTGGTTTATTTTATTTTATTTTATTTTATTTTATTTTATTTTATTTTATTGGAAAATCAAGAGAATAGCCTGTCTTATCCACTTCTAAAGTACCAATCGGTTTTTCAGTAAAAATGAAAGAAATGAGAAAGAATGCAATGGTAGAAAGATTGTATCCCACAAAATTCAAACAAATCAGGAAAACATTTTGCTTGGAGATTGGTTGTTGAGTGCACGAAAGAATAAACATATCCCTTGTAGAGTACTCGTGGTCAAGTTAAAAAGTACCCTTTTACCCAAAAGCTCATTTACCCTAAATCTCATTCAGATGTGACAGTGTACGAATAAATACAGTATTTCTGACGGGAGTTTCAGCACTGTATGAGTGGGCTGCCTGAAAGAGAAACTAAAAATTAACTTTCTTTCGTTGTGTTTGAAACAAGGGCAATCACAAATGGGAACGTGGCGCTGTAGTTGAAAGCCAAGGGAGAGTATTAAAACCCACCGTACTTCTATTCTGGCTCTCGCTGTTCAGCGAGCTCTGAGGAGGTTTGGGCTCCCAGCGGCCCGTAGTTTCCCTGGCAACCGGCAGGCAGCGTCTCCGGGAGCGGGATCTGAGCCGCCCGTCCCGCGGGGCCGCGGAGTGGGGACGGCGCTGCCGGGACCAGCCGGACTTGCGGGGACGGGAGAGGGGCCGAGGGGAGTGGGGCGTCCCCCTCGTCCTCTCGCTGGGTCCGTGGATATCCCGCGGGGGCGTCGCCACGGGAGCCTCTCGGCGGTGGCGGCGCTCGAAGCCCCTCGGCCGCTCCTGCCGCTGCCGCGCTCCGGAGAGTTGGCTCTCGCCAGGGTAAGGAAGCAACCTCGCCTTTCAAATCCTACTGACTTCAGTTCTGCCTGCCTTAAGTGACTTCTAGGACCGAACTCCAGGCTGCACTTCTCCTCCTTTGAAAGTAGTCTTTTAGAGGTGCTTTTCCTATTTCCATTTAAAGTGTCTGTCCTTTGCTTGAAGTCTGTCGGCTGCCAGTAGACGGGTCACTTCTGTATCAAACCTCGTACGTCGCTTGTTTGATTCGCGACTGTACTTCAGCCGTCTGATCTCTTTGCAAACACGTGCGACTGGCTTTCCGAGCTCCTGACTACGCAAGGGCTTTCATCTCTGAAAGTTGAGACCTACTTATGAAGACTACTTTTCCTGCTCAGTGCCACTTCCACCTCTGCCAGTATATTGCCTTAGTTGCATTTTTACAAAACCATTATCACTGTCCTTACTTCTGTCTTCATTTCTGTCCCAAAGGGCTGACATTGTTCCTGCTTATTGTCACACTTTTTATTGTTTACTTTTTGTCATGATACAACCACTGACTTTTCTAGAATTAGTCGTTAGTTAAAACCTCAATAAAGTCTTTGACGTGTATCTTAATTACTTCCTGGGAAATAGAATAAATTAAATATATCTGAATTATTTCTTAATAAAATAAAAAATATTTGTTGTTATTAGCAAGCTGACTTCCCATTATGAGCAATTGTATATTTCAAAGGCTGACACTGATAGCAGTGTTTTGTGATATATGATGCTACTGTTAAGAACTTATCTGGTGCTTTTATAGTATAAAATGATTTTGATTCTTATTTTTCTGATAGTTAAAAATGTGTCTTCTAACTAATGTGATTAGAATGCAATTATAATAAGCTGACATAAAATCAGTAGATTTTCTTTCAATGTTATTGTCTTTTAGGGCTTCAGATTATTTCTGGGTTTAATGGCGTGCATTTTACCAAATATTTCACATAAGGGTCATGTAAGTTTTTGTGCGTTCTGAAGATACTTAATTGTCTAATTGTGGTATGCTAATTCTTTTAAAAAGACTGTCACTGGAGACAGGCTGCATTCTGGAAATAGTAGGAAAGAGAAGACAGGATGTACAGTGGGTGAACTGATTTGAATCACTATTTCTGATTAAATCATCCTTCAAGAAGTATTTATTTAAACTTTCAATTTTAGTTTTGCTTTTATTTTTGCTAATTTGGTAATCATTTCTTGACATTCACTAAAACTTAGGTGCTAGATGTAATTCTTTCCACAAGTCATAAAGACATAGCATATCTTTCTTACCAGAAACAGAAATAATCCTAAAGATTTCATAATTTTGATAATGACTGGGAAATGAGATACTGGAAAGCAGTGCCATGAAAAGGGACGTGGGAGTCCTGGCTGATGGCAAATTGAATCTGAGTCAGCAGTGCCCTGGCAGCCAGGAGGGCCAACCATGCCCTGAGGGCCATCAGGCAAAGCATGGTCAGCTGGTCGAGGGAGGGGATTGTCTCGCTCTGCTTGGCACTGGTGCAGCTTCACCTTGAATATTGTGGCATTTCTGGGTGCCACAATGTAAGAAGGATATTAAGCCATTAGAGAGCATCCAAAGGAGGTCAACGAAGATGGTGAAGGGCCTTGAGGGGAAGCTGTATGAGGAGCAGCTGAGGGCACTTGGTTTGTTTGGCTTGAAGAAGAGGAGACTGAGGGGAGACCTCATTGCAGTTACAACTTCCTCCTGAGAGGAAGAGGAGGGGCAGGCACTGGAATTTTCTCTGTGGTTACCAATGGCAGGACCTGAAGGAATGGCCTGAAGTTGTGTCAGGGGAGATTTAGGTTGGATATTAGAAAAGCAAAAAAAAAAATCTGCCTCTCTAATTTTTGCTGATCTCAGTATTTGGAATTTAATCACATTTTTGACAAAAGCAGGTGTCATCAGCTTGTCTGGATGGCAAGCATTCTGCTCATCCCTGAGGCAATGTTTGTTTCTGTGTATTATTTAATTTGCCTCCTATTATTTTCATTTCTATATAGTGTCATTTCTTCTTTAAGAAAGGAATGTAATTTCTTATTTACTAAATTGTTTTTTTTACCATCCAAAATACACCATAGCATAAATTACTGAACATTAATAATATTAAAAACTAGCAGTTTCTCTCTTGAAATTTTATTAATATTTGAAAACTTGTAATTTCCCAGGAATAATTTATCTGTTAATTTTTTTAGGGACACTTTAACCCAATTGCGTACATATATAGTGACACATGTAGCTGGTGCATTGACATATGGAAGATAAGTGTATCTAAATCAGTATTTAAGGATGTATATAGAAGGTTATTTTTGCACTCTTTTTAAAAAATAAAAGTAATTCTTCTTACGTGGAATTGGAATTCATGTTATGTCTTCTTTCTTTGCTGCCTTACATCTCTGTTCTTATCTCTTACTGATTCTGCATTTGGGTTTTGTTTCCTGAATGTGCTTGCTCTTCTCTTCATTCCTTCATCCTGACTATTCCTCAGATGGTTGCTTTCTTCTGATGTAACTGTACCTAGCCAGCCTATTTCACTCTGGGCTCTTCTGCTGAGCCCCATAATGCTGCTTGCATTCCTGTAGGCTACCCTAGAGGCAGATTGTAGCTAATTCACTTTAGCTGCAGGTCTCGAAGAACATAAGAAAAGGGGAGCAGGTTAGGAAATGTGTGCATTTGAAAGACTGAGTGACAAGACTCCTAAAATTATGTTGTGCAGTGCGTAGGGTGTATAAGAATAAACCTTTGTTTCCTAGGGCACTTATTCAGATTTTTGTGATTGTTTGTTCATGTCAGTTTTCTGGCCTGAGGATTCTAACCCTTGATAGTCTGCCATATAGGAATGAAAATTATTTTATGTTTTTAATATTTTCCTATGCTAGGAAGAAATGTTCTAAGAATGTCATCACGCATCGAAATAAAACCAAAGACTGCAGCACAGAAAAGCAAGACTTCCTCTCCTTCACCATGTTCTTCAGAACCTGCAATTAAACCACAGCCAAAGCCTAGTGACAAGCTGAATCCTAAAACTATTAATCCGGTATGTATAGGTGATGGAGGGTTTGTTTGTTTGTTTAAAACCCATCTCTGGTTGGAAAATATTTCCTTACTTTATGAAATGGCATGCAGGACATGCTTCTTCTGGTCCTGTTTTTTAAATTGAAATTAAAATTTTGTTATTAATCACCTCTTCCCTACCTTCTAAGACAAATGCCTGAGGCATAACCTTGTTTATTACATTTTTGATAAATGGGTTTTGGTAAAATTGTGGTTTGCATGGTAACTGTCCTATGTACTGTTGCCCTAAAAAGAGATTTAGAGCTAAGAGTTAAAGAGAGTTGTTTTGTTTTTTTTTTTATATATACTTCTAAACTTTGATACCTGCTGCTTTAGGGGAATTTATTTCAGTTATGCAATTAAGCTAAGAATCGGGCAGCATCTTGAAGATCATCAAGACTTCATGAAATCTCACAAATTAATTGCTGGTGAGCATTATTTCAAACTCACAATTACTGTGAATATGTAATACTTTAGAACAAAATTTGGGCTCTTGGAAGCAGAACAATGAATGGAGTTGTTTATTTCATGGAACTCATGTGCCTGAAGAACTAGCATTCAATACACGAATTATAGCTCACCACTGGCCCATATAATTTGACAATTAGTAATATCACAGGCTTTTTGGAAAGTGAATTAAATGCAGGAGTACTTCGGTGAGGTGGTAGTTTGCAATTAACAGAGACAGATACAGATGTGGGCATCTTTTTTACTTTAAATCTTTTTGCAAGTAGCACAATGACTTGAATAAGCCATGAAGTCATCAAATCATGCACACAATGTTACTGATTTTAATGTAGGTTCAAACACTCAAAAGATAAAAATTAAGATTTCATGGTATTTCCTTTTAAATGCTTTGTGATAAGGTGTTTAAAAAGGGAAGCAGCATTGAATAATCATGCTAATACATAATACAATAGTTCATATGCATAGGAATCATGTATATGATAAAAAACAAATTTGTGCAGCTTTTCTACCTGTGAAGTTCCTAATTTCCTTCTCCAGTGAGTTCTTTCTAGATTCTCACCTAGTATGAACCTTCTTGCGCATTTCCAGTGCCCTCATACCATCTTGCCCAATTTTCAGTATTTCTCCCACATCTTGCCACCGTGTACTTTTGTCTATATTCAGATCAAGATGGAATTGCAGTAAAACTGCCTTCTGCATGTTACCAATATAAATACAAGAGCATAGGGAAAGTGAGAGCTCCTTAATCAGTTAAGGAGAGAACCTGTAAGGCCTAAGTATTAACATTTGCAAGAGAAAATAGAAAAATATGGTATTTCCATTGGGAAAATGCTGATTCTACATCATTTATTTAAACTCCCTAGCCAGACAATTCTGAAGAGCAGTTTCTGGTAAGTATATCAAGTATGTTTTCCACCCCATAGCTGCAGGTTTTTTTCTTTTATTTGTTTTAGAATCATATGAATAAGTTCTTTTTTTTGGTAAACTGCAGTTTTAACATATTTATAATAGTTATAAAACCTTACTGCTCCTTTTTTCTGTCTTTGCAGTTTGGTGCCTCTTCTCAATCAACATCTGCATTTGCTGCCATATATGCTAAAGGAGGCATTCCGTGCAGGTGTGTAGGGTTTGTTTATATTTTTACTAAATATATTATGAAATACATCTCTTCATGTTTGATATTTTAGTTAGGTTGTTTGATTCCATTAATTTCTGGAAAGATTTCTAATGCTCAACTCTTTTCAAAGCAGAAAGCAATTTTCCATGCCTTTGAAATTGTTTGGGTTTTTTTATGCTATATTAATACTAAACCCACATTTTTAAAGAATAGTTAAGTTTGTGCAGACTTAATTTCTCCAGGTAATCCTGTTTATTTCTCCCTACTAACAAAGATAGTAAAATTATTGCCATTTTAGTAAGCAGACCTCTTGCAGCCTTTTTCATGTGAAGTAGTTAGTATGACAACATTTTATTGAATATTCCAACTGTGTACTTGCCAGCAATATCAGACATTAACAAAATACTTTTAAGTAATAGTTTATGGTATTACTTTTGGCTAGAAAATAAACATTAAAGTGTTTTCTTACGAGGATGCAGAATTACTTTACAAAAATTTAATCATTAATACAATGTACATGTATTGTATAAAATAATCATTAATACATAGTGTTTACCTGTACCTTAGGAGTAAATAATAAATTCCAATATGATTTTCTTTCAGTTTCAACTGATTTCCCCTATCAGGAAATGTTAGGAAAATGTTTCTGATACTTACCAAAATAAGTAACTTTGCAAAAGCATCTTCAGTGTTGGGATGAGAGGCATCTATAATTTTTATAACCTTTATTTCCTGATTTCTATGTGATTAGGAGCAGAATTTTGGAAACTGCCATGTTTTGGGAAATGATTATAATTTCACTGTTAAATACCATTATACATATACTAGCTTGGATTTGATGATCTCAGAGATTTTTTCCAACCTAATCAGATTCTGTGATTTTGCTAAGGAGAATAGGATTTATCGGGATTGTGTATATAACACAGTAATATCACAAACTAATTGCTGATACATTTAAAGGGAATAGTGCTAGTAATAAATTATGTATTCTTATATGATGATTTGTTAAAACTTTATTCTTTATATAGGTTAGTGCATGGATCAGTAAAGCACAAACTGCAATGGGAATGCCTTCCTGAAACTGTTCCCTTTGATCCTCTCCTTGTAACATTGGCAGAGGTAAACTCAATTTCTTGCAACATTAAGCATACAACCATTTCCTAATTGCAACTGTCATTTATTAACAATCTGAGCTAACTAATTTAGGCTCACATACTAGGGAAATACAGAAAACCCCACATTTGTGAAGATCTTGTATGAATGAAAATGGTCAAGAGCATTGCTATTTGTAGTTCTTTAGTCAGAGCATTCTAAGAGAGCTAGGTAGAGCTGTTTAATCTTCAACATACTGGCCAAATGCAAAACTGCATCTCAGATTTCCAACTGTTGAATGAAATCTTCATTTGTAGTTTTGCAGGTTCTTTTGTAAACTAAATTGCTTTGATTATTTTTGTATATTAAGCCTACCTGTTGAATTAAGAGTGTTCTTCTCAATAGATTGAACTAGTACAGTGAAAATAGCATCCTGTAAATAAGCTGAAGAGCAGTACTATGCATTATGTTGAGGCTTCTGTTTTCTCAGAACCATCTGTGACATTTATCACCAAATATGTTTCAGGTGTCTAAATAAATGATGAATCCAATGCTGTAGATAGAATAAAGTGTATATCCACAGGTGGCTTATTCTCTCTTGGTTTTTTCCTTTATTTTTAAAAGATTAAAAAACCCTGTCAATTCCTAAAGTAACATAAAGCTCATGTTGTGGAAAGAAGAAAGGCTTCAGCCCTTGGCCTTTAAGTCTTTGAGTTCTGCCAGTGAGGCCTTCTATACTAGAAGGGCATCTTTGTGCCATCAACAGGTTTTTGGTGTTACAGAGAGGGGTTTGTGGTGGGGGGGCATCTTTGCTTCCATAGTTCATCTAATTTTTTTATCTTTAGGGTACAAAAACATAGCCTGCTCTTGTTCCTGGTCTTGTTGAAAAAATACCTAGGGTAGTTAGATTTCAGGTAGTGAAGGACACAAATTGATTGAATTGACTGTATTCATAATGTAAGTTTTAATATTCAATGCTCCGAAAGAAAAATTAATTAGAATATTCTGTTTGGAGAGTTGTACTGAGTGGCTCCACATGGTGGAGTTAGTGTACTTTATGTTTTGAACTGATCTGACAAAATCTAAACATTATCTTGCTGCTATGTGGAACTTTTTAAATGTGTTTTTTTTTTTAAAGAAGGCACACTATTAAGAAACACATTTTACATTTGCAACAGGGACTAAGAGAGACAAAACATCCCTATACCTTTGTTTCGAAGGAGGGTTTTAGAGAATTACTTCAGGTTGAAGGTGCTACTGAAAAAGCAATTCCCTTGTTGCCTCGTCTAGTTCCAGTCTTAAAGGCTACGCTGGTATGTCTTTCTCTTCATGCAGAGATTTTAATGGATTTGATTTTTTTTTTTCTTTTGCTGGTGAGAACTACATGGAAAATATTAATGTGATAAATCTACTGCATGGGTTTTGGTTTAGGGATTGGGAATGGTTTGTCTTTCTCTTGTTAACCCTGCCTTGGTTTATTAGCTAAATATGTATTTAACTGCAAATTCAAATGGGCAACTTGTTATAGCTGTATGACAGTAGCTATGGGCAAATTTTGTGGAAATGTTCTATTAAAGGTCTGAATATAAGCAGAAATAAATACACATATTTGTGGTGTTTTTATATATGAACACGCAAAAAGTAGAAATTAGGTGAAGTAAAATGGAAATATGGGAATAAATAATCATCTGTTACATTTAACAATTCAAAATATGCTACAAAAGTAAACCAAAATATGTCAATGAGGAAAAGGGAAGAATACAGTTAAGATATTTAAGGTAATATACTTAATTTTTAAAATATTTTTAACTTTTCTACTCCTTTAGAAAACAAAGTGATGTATTGGCTTCAAGGGTTTTCTTTTTTTGACCTTTTTCATATTTTTCAGTGTCCTCTTCTGGTTCAGCAAGTAGCTGTTCTTTAATCTAGCTGTGTTTCAGTTATGATTTTATAGAAATTGCTGAAAGCTTGAAAATTCTTTGTGATCTCAAAGCAGACATGTAACAGAAGTTAAGAATTCTGTATTATCAGTATATTTGGGTTAGTTTGAAGACAAAATTAGAAATGTTATTCTTGTCTGTTCCTCAGTTACTGTTACTCATCTGATAATTTTTATTGTTGTACTACTTGGTATAAAGTCTCATTAAACCTTCCACTACACAAGCAGTCTATAACTTCTAGTTAAAAAGAAAACATTTAGGTCTCAGATGAGTGGAGTGAAAAATATTTAATAAACTTAAAATTTAGTACAAGAAAAAAATAAATTGTTATGAGTCTATTTCTCCATGAAAGGAAAAATGAGATAACTAAACCACTAGAGAACTCAGGGACAGAAGAACCTTCCTACGGGAGATATAAAGATGACAAGGAACCCTAGAAGTAGATAAGAGCCAGATAATTGCTGGCAGGTGACAAAGGTGTAGTTGGAGAGAACTAAATGAATTGAGGCAGAAAGTAACTGGCTCCACTGTTTCTCCAACAAAGGAAGTTATTGTTATAAATTACGTAGAAATTACACTGAATTAATTACATTTGTAAGTAAAACGGTGTCTCCCAATGTCAGCTTATCTGCATTTGAATGGTTAATATGCTGTGAAATACTGAAATTGTTGATGTAGTAAGCTGTTTTGCATGCCAAATTTTTTATTTCATCAATACTTAATTATTAGTTTCCTTGTCTCAGAAGAAATGCAAGAGTTTCACTGGCATTTTGTGGATACTTTTGGTTCTACTTTAAAAATATACCTCTGTTTTTAAATGTGGTCTCTGGAGACTAATATTCAGTCATGTTGTACTTGTATTTCTAAACTTGTAACATTATAGCAATTAGCAATTGCACAGTAGTTCTAATGTTTAAAAATACTACATGCAATCATAATGCAGAGATTGCAGTGTAGAGAAACTTGTGTGTTTGTGTGAATATTATTGATAGGGTTTTCTTTCTTTCCCCTCTGAAGGCCCATGCAGATGATGAAGTATTTGAAAGGGGATTGGATGCTTTAGTTCAGCTGAGTGCTGTTGTTGGCCCATCTCTTAATGATCATCTTAAACATCTACTCACAAATGTAAGTTTTTAATGCTGTAGTAAAAAATCCTTTGTATTTTCATGGTACTTTTGTTGAGATGTTTCCTGAAATATTTGTACAGATACATTGGAGGACTCAGCAGTTCCATGAAAAGCACTATTTCATATATTCCCTGTGAGAGTCCTTCATTCTTTAATAATATGGTTACTTGTAAAGTTCTAGCAATGTCCAAAAACTGTTGCTAATGTAAACCTAAAGTATAGGCCTGAGGAGAAATAGATGCTATGTTTTGGAGGAATGCTTATTACCAAATGAGTTTTTTGGGTTTTGTGTGAACATTTTAACAAAACTGTGACAGTTTCAATAAATTAACATAAGCAAATATTCCCACTTCCTTCAGATGAGAATTCTGCTCAAAGAGGTTTTCATTAAATAAGCTTAGAGTGGGATTATGAAAAGTATTTTTATACTGAGTCCTTCTGAGGACATCCTTCCTCTGTCAGACAGGCTTTTCATGATTTCATTTAGCTGACTTGCAAAGTGCACTTTTATAGCAAAATGAAAGGACCTTTTTTGACATCCAGTGCAGAAGAGAGAAATTGCAGCAGTTTTTTAAAAAGTATTTCCACTGTAATAAATCTCTTTCAATGCACGTGAAAAATGTGTTAACTTTTTATGTGGACAGCCCTTTAAGAATGACTTTTTTTTTTTAAGGTTGGTACTTCTTTCAAATTTTTTTGCTAAAAGAAAAAAATTTTTTTTTTTGTTGGCTAATAGATCCAGTTTTATTAAGTTAACCTTTTACTCCTCTGCCTTGACTAAGTTCCATACTTTGACATTAGTTACAAGTTACAATGTTTCTTTTCATCCTTAATTTTCCAAAGACGAAATAAAGTAACAAAAAAGAATTATTATACCCTCTTTGCATATATTATACTATATTGTGCAACAAACCTTTACTTTTCCAATAGCTTTCAAGGAGATTAATGGACAAGAAATTTAGAGAAAAAGTTACTGTTACTTTACAAAAGTTGGAGCAATATGGTGGAAAGGTGAGTTGATCAGATGGTTATTCTGTAATCTGCACATTTGAATGCAATTTTGCCAAAACAACTTTTATCTCTGGCTTTCTTGCCATGTTCTTGCTTCAGTAGACCTGGGACACATGCTTCATGGTTCCATTTTTTGAGACTAAATATGTTTCTCAACAGGAGAATAACCTCTTGCCAGAGGTTACTTTTTACTGTTATTCATGATGCCTGCCCATTCCCACTACGAGTTTTTTGTTTGGGTTATTTACTGAGGAATTCTGACACTGACATTCCAGCTCACCCTGATTAATTCAGAGGTTAGATCTACAATGCTATAAATCAAAAAGTATGCTTTAAGTAATAGGTGGCAGAGGTTTCTTCTGATAAACATTCCGTTGCCATTTTATGTTGTGCTGTACATTGTACAGAAATGAGGAAAGAAGAAAAAGTGAGGAGTATTGGCTGGGATATTGATCTAGAAGAGAAAGTATTTGCTTTCTTGACGCTATGAACACTTTTTTGTAATATATTCAATGGTCATTAATAAAGAATAGGAATAACCTGAAGAGTAGGGACCATAAATACAGGTCCACCAGTTCTGAGCTTGTGTACCTTAATCAGCAGGTGCCCAAATAATCAGTTGACATAACTTCATTTTTTTGTGTATGTGCTTATATTCATTTAAGGGCAGTAGCAGTGTTCATATTACAGACTTGAAAAACATAATGTCAAATGAAGGAGGATGGAAGTTTTTTATTTATATGAAGTGAGACAAGAAAAGAAAAATTATTTCTCATCTCGCTATTCTGAAAATTTAGGTCTAGATGATGTAACTAATCCAGTGAGTCATTACACTCTAACTCTTCTGTCAATCCCCTGGTTTCTTGTTGTCTTGTTTTGTGAATAGGTCTTTCTGTTTGTCTTTTAAAGATACTCATAAATTGTGATTACAAGCAATATGATCAAATTTCTATTCTAAATTTGTTATAAAGTATATGATTCTTACTTTTATTACATGTCCCTTCCAGAATATTACTCCTCTGTTTAAAAATCCTTATTGTTTTATGTCTGTATTTATGCTCAGTTTTAGGTATGGGTTTACATGTCCCTTCTCTTGGAATTTTACTCTCCAGCATTAGTTATCACAATGTTCCATTTTTTCAGTTTATTATTTTCAGCCCTTTTGACAGTAAATTTCTCAGCAAATAGTATCTTTTTTAGTTTTCTACTGTTTCATAATAGCAAAGATCACTAAGTAAACATTGTGAATTATGCAATTTATCGAGACTGTATGAATACTGTCATACTAGTGCTAGTGCTCCTTATTTTAACGTTACTTTGTTTTCTTCAACAGGCAACTGTGGCTATCATCAAATCTAAAATTCCAACATATTCTTCTATCTCCCCCTGAACAAGACAACTCTAGTGATTTGTACTATAAGGTGAACATCACTGACACTTATTTGGGGTATGATATATTCTCTTAAAATAATCATAACTTTTCAGTATTATGGAGAGTGGGAGTCTTATCAGTTTGTGAACATGTAATTACAGAAGACTTCTCTCTATATTTGCATATGCACTGTGCTTACAATGACATTGATTAACCTGCTATTGTTTCAAAAGCAGAGTAAATATTGATTCTTATTTTGTTGGAAACTACAGTGCTTAATATGTTTTGTATATTTGTGTGATGCAAAATAGTTTGGCAGTAATTACTTAAATAGTAACTAACTTGGTGTTAAATGAAACATTTATACCTGCTTTTGAAACATATGACTTATTTTGTGACAGGCACATTTAGGTTCATCAGAACTAGGTTAGACGTAGAACCATGAGCACTCATAGACTTCTTCAGAATCAGCTTTTCAAGGTGTGAAGCTGAACACACCAAACAAGGAGCATGTGGTGCAAAGCTAAACTTGCTCAGTGCATTCTCAGCTCATAGTTTTGGATTGCTGGGAAGGCTTGGAAAATACAGTGCAAAGGTATTGGGTTGCTCCACAGATCCACAGCCTAGGGTTTGCTCCGCTAATTAGTTCCAGTTAGCTTTGGGCCTGCTGAATAAGAGCTGGAGGTAGGAGGCAACTTTAGAGTATTTACACCGTGGTCCCTTTGCACTGAGTTCAGGAACGTCACAGATATGCTTGGGACTGTCTTGTGAATTCCGGTCTAGACAAGTTAATAAACTTCTGAACATGGAAGCTATAAAAAAGCAGGAGTTAAAAACAACAAAAGGATTTCAGAAGCCAGCTTACCTCTCTGTCAAGCTTTGTATGTTGCAGCATTTGCTCATGAATGTATTTGAACTTGACTGCAAAATAATTCCTAACTGGACTTGCAATAAATGCTGATCAGAGTCATGTTGTGCTTCAGTATACTGTGAGGGAGAGCTGACTGAAGTAACAAAATTTGCACAGAACTTTTTTCCCTGAGGGAAAATCAATTCTGGAATTTGGAATGTTGGAAGGGAGGGGTTTTTTTGTCATCAGAAGATACTGATGCATAGAGTATTAAAAAAGCCTGTCATGTGAAAGCAATTTCAGATTTTTTTTAAAAATTACTACTGCTTGACTAAATGAAATTTACCTCAGGACTATGGTAAGATTGCTGCTGAGATGAGAACTGTGCTAAGTGAAGATAAATGTATTAGGCGATTTTTTTTTTTTTTTTTTTTAAAATTGTATTTCTTCAGTTAACAATTTTGCCAACACGTATTTAACAACTCAAAAAAATTGATCATGGTCCTTTTTTTATTTCATGTTTACTTTATTATTTTTTTTTACAAAATGTGCACATTTAGTTTACACAAACACGCTACAGCAGATTTCAGGTGTACATGTATTGTACTACTCTTATCCTACACTGGTGATAGCAGAGCAGCCTTCAACATGCCTCTAACATCCCATCTCTACACCAGAATAGATACCTGATTTATTTTTACAAAAGAATGCTTGCAACATTCTTTCTACTTCATTAATTCACATTTTCTGCAGCAATGTCACAATGAAGGTTGGCCTATCTCTGATAGCATCTCACCTATTTCAAAATATTGGCATAAACTCTGTGGACAATATATCTTAAAAATTACATGGATGGAGGGGCAGTGTTACATTTTAGGTGCATAATTTTTTAGAAAAATCTTTCTAGGTCCAGAATAAATAGCTCCAATCTTAATGAAGAAATGATTCTAAAAAAATGTAATGCATTTATCACATGTAGATGATATATAGCTGAAGTTTTATTTTTTCCTGATTTTTTTTCATAGTTACAGATATTACAAAAAGCTGAAATAGATGTTAGCCTGACTATCAGTCATTATTAGTAGATGTTACTACATAGGGATATTCATTCTCAGCACTGAAGTGGGATGGAAGTTTCGAAGGAAGTTCATGCCTTTTTATTTATTAAAGGCAAAAAGACACGTACTTATGAAAACAGTGTTAGGATCCAGTTAAGGTTTCTTCATGAAAAAATTAGAAGTCAGAAGATCCTTAATTTTAAGCTAAGAGCTTTGCAGACACATCCAAGAAGAATTAGAAATACAGAATGTAGGACGTCTGGTATTCCTGTTGTGATAAATCAAACGCAGATTTACTAGGTAAGTGTGATTGATAGAAGCTTGCTCATATTTTTTAGGGAATAAACCTACGTATAAGCAGTTTGGGTTTCTGTTCTATAACAGTTCTTCTTCTCAAGTTATCTATTTTGTTAGGTTTGGGTTTTTTTTCCTTTGGAAGAGAAAAGCGAGTCGAAGGTGGAAGGCAGTTGCAGAAAGATGTGCATTGCACATTGATTACAGCATTAACTCTAAGTGTTATTCAAAAATGAGTACTACACCAAAGAGCTGGGAAAATACATGGTAATGCCTCTGTATAAATTAGAAGCTAAGATTTAAGAAATACACTTGAACACCTGGAATTTAATCCAGTAAAAATGAGTAGCAAAACTAAGAATATATTTTAAATCTCCTTGTGATTGTATCTATTTTAACTAGAGTTTGGAATGATAATAAAGCTGCATACTGTCAGTTCTTACTTTGTTTTAATTTGGAGTAAAAACTTGATTTTTCAGTACAATCTTGTTAACGAAGTAGCCACTGTTGAAGAGCTAAATTTTGTAATTTAGAATGAATTTTTTGTTGGGAAGAGTTTATAATAAAAAATATACTTGCATAATCCATGTCTCAGTGTAAAGCTGAGTAACTTTATTTATGATAAAGTGGGAAATCCATCTTTTAGATAATGTTGCAGAATAGCTCGTATTTGTCCATTAGTTGTAGACCTAATGTCTTCATTAAATCACATTTTCAAAGAGCTGCATGGATCGCATTATATTCTCATCCTGTAAAGAAAGACAATACAAAACCAAAAATCATACACCATTAAAAATGTAGTTGGCCAGTATCTATAGTGACAGGGTATGGATCTAACTGTATTTTAGTTAATTACAACATTTTTTCAGCTTGTTTAGAGAAACTGTTAGCAGGAAAAGGCTGTTAACGGATCTGTTCTTAAATAAGTTTGTGTATATATTAATGAGACCAAAAGTACCCTTTCAAGAATCCAGTAGCATATTAAGAAAATTAAGTCTGCAGTATTTCAGAGTTTATCAGTTTATACCCACTATAAAATAATACATTTAGACAATACATAATCATGGAATAGTTGTATCTGAAGTGCAAACCCATACACAGAATTGCTAATTCTGTGCATTGTACACAGGAGCCTTTTTGCAATGCTAGGGATGACTCTAACATAAAATAGATTCAAGTGTGCCTCTTTGCATGAACTGAAGAGTCAATCAGTTTGACAACTATCACAACACTCTTCAGCTCTTCAGATTTTCTGTGTGCTCACACTGAAAGATGGTCATTGCTTTCCAATGCTACTTCTGCTTTCTGATTGCTTTGCATTAGGTAATGTTTTAAGGAAATCTTCAGCGCCCAAGTTTTGCATAATGCTTAGTGATGCATCCCTCTGTATTCCAGTTTTTATCAGTAAATAACTCTCAGCACAGGACTCAGCAAAAAGTATTTTTCTTTGTAAGCTTTACATTTCAGTGTATAGAAGAAAGTAGTATTTGCAGTTGAATGTCCCTGGTGGTGCAGTGGCTAAACCACAGTGTTGTCAACGCTGAGATCTGGGTTCGATTCCCGGTTAGGACACTCTCCGGGCAGATGGAGCTCGCTAGCCCTGTAAGGCAATCCATCTACGTCCTGAGGACCTTGCTGCCACCGTCCAAGCGTGCTTGGCCCCGGCAGATGAACCTCAGGATTAAAGGGTGGGCTCAGTTCCGCGCACACTGTGTCTCACCTAAAAAAATCCCATGCGCAGGCTGGAAGGTGGAAAGACCTTCCCCGGTTCTTCATTCGCGAAGAGACTGGCCATTTGCAGTAGCCTGTATTTCTTGGCATTGCTGGATCAACAGTTGCTTGCATAAAAGGTATATATAAAATATATACACAATACAGGAATTCATTACATGCTCATTTAGCATTTGCTGGTCTTCACTGTAAGGAGCCTATATTTTAATCTAGCACTTTCTTGAGAGATAATTTAGACATCAATTTGAGTGAATAAAAAACCTGAATTTGGTAAGTTATTTTTCTAAGCTTCATGAAAGATGACTAAAAGACCCCACTTGTTACAGAGGTTATCTCATAGTATTCTCCACTACTGATAGGGATGTGATACTTCTGTACATAAATCTTCCAATAATACATGTTGAGTATCAATTTCCAGTTAAATTATTCACTGTTTAGTCTAGTGGGTGATTTGCTTTGTAAAAATGACTGGTCTGAGTAATTTGCTTAATTTATGTTATGTAACATGCACAGTGGGGTTTTTCATCTTTGATTCTGTATGCCATCTCAAGTGATGTTGCTGTAAGAAATGATCTGTGCACTATTTTGTACTGATAAAATAACTTATGGAAGCAATTATATGTAATGTAAAAAAATATGTAGATTAATGCTTAAAAATTTCTGTGGTAAAATTAATATATGAAATTACTGGAAGTTAAAATAACCTAACTTTTTTCCCACTGCATTACTTTAAAATATCAATAAACTAGTCAAGATCACTGATTAATGTAAGGCTGAAGTGTGGTTTAACTGGCATCATTTGTAATTTAATTAATATAAATGGGCAACTAAGCTCAGTGAATGGGCAACACAAACAACATGCTCTGAATTTCCAAAGTGTTTTGCCACTTCCTACCAATTTTATTATATGTGTATCATCATGAATGAAATTGATAGTTTTCTAAAATCATCACCCTATTTCTGAGGTTGGCTGTTTCTGTACAGAAGACTTTCAATGTCCCTTCCTTAGTCAGTCAAATGGGAAAAGTCTTCACAGGAAAATACAAGCTTGTCATAATATTTAGAACATGATAAGTTTTAGTAGCTTTTTTTTCCCCGTCTTTAAAAAAGAAAAAAAAAAG